CATGTGATATAATTTAACTCTCAGCTCTGATTATTACCATTCTTTAAAATAACAAGATGAGTAAAAAACATTGTCTTAGACTTTCTAATCACTTAAGAGTATTCTCTTGCCAGTTCTAGGTTTGGAAACGTTGAAACACAAGATAAACATTTTTAAAAATGTGGGGGGTAGAAATATTCACTGAAAAGCAGGATTATTATTGTCACCCAATTAAATGCATTAATGGTGACTGTGAAGGTAGACTCAGTCTGTCTTTTATTCTGCCAAGCCACCTGATACTACTGAGGGCTTATTATTCTCTAAGGAGACAAATATTCATTAAAATGACTTATCAAGTAAAAAGTAATAATCCTATATAACTAACCCTATCATCAGTCTTTCTGGCCAGCTAGCTAAATATACACAATATAAATAACCCTATATAGCACTCCCAACAACTGAAAGTAAGTTTTTCTTAAAAAAGAAAAACTCTTAAAACATGTCACTGTAGAAGATATGTGTTCACATGTTACCCTCTGTGCTTAAAATTCAATGGATTCCTATTGCTTTCAGGATTAAGACCAAAATTCTTAATGTGATCTTCAAGTTTCTGCTTTATTCTACAACCTCATCCCGTACCACACTCTCCCTACATCTTCATGCTCAACCACATTGGTCTTCCTTCAAGGCTTTGAACAGGCCACAGGGCCTTTGCACATGTTTTCACTCTGTCTAGATGCCTTCCTCCACCTGCCTTCTTTGCCTCTTTAGCTCTTACTCATCCACCAGATCTTAGCGCAGTACTCACCACCTTAAGGAAACTATCCCAGACTCATCTCAGTTAGATTCTCTTTTGTATGTGCATTCATAAAGTATGTTTCTTTTCTGCTTGGCATTTACTTACCTCATGTATATGGTATATCTGTTATCTATTGCTGCATAACAAATAATCTTGAAATTTAGTGGCTTAAAACAACAAACATTTATTATCTCTTGGTTCCTGCTAATCAGGAACCAGGAGCAGCCTGGTTGGATGGTTCTGGCTCAGAGTCTCATCATGTTGCATCAAGATATCGGCCAGGGCACGCCTGGGTGGCTCAGTCAGTTAAGCATCTGACTCTTGATTTTGACTCAGATCATGATCTCAGTGTTGTGAGATCGAGACCCTCATCGGGCTCCACGCTGGGTATGAAGACTGCTTAAGATTCTCTCTCTCCCTCTCCCTCTGCCCCTCCCCACTTTCCTTTCTTAAAAAAAAGAGAGAGAGAGAGAGAAAGAAAGAGAGAGAGAAAGAAGGAAGGAAGAAAGAAGAAAGAAAGAAAGAAAGAA